ATTTTGAACTTTAAGTCTCAAACTCTTCTATAAGTAATAAAGATGAGAATGGAAATAAAAATATGAAGTGAGGTTTACTTTGGGAATATTGTCTAAGTAGTAGGATTTACTATACAATTTAGCTATATATGTATTATGTTATCACGTATATGATAGAGACCTACAATCTTATCTCACGGTTTCCTATGGCTTTAGTTGCATAATTTCTTAATATAATTCTTTTTGCAAGTTGAAAACATGTTAATTATTTCATAACTACTATGGTGGCATATGCACCTTCATGAGTGTGCAAAATGAATGATGTGCTAAAATCACTTTAGCAAATATACTGATTGTTCCAAAGAATATGATGGTGAAAAGAACGTCGAACCCACAAGGATTGTGATTAACTAAGTGCCAAAAATAATTAATCTAAATTTATTTGAACAATCGAAAAGAAAGAAACATTAATTAAAAATAATAAAAAGAAAATAACTATTAAAATAAAGTTAATCAAGATATGAAATAGTAAGGCATTGATTTCGCCATAATCAACCAATATAAATTCTAGATTAATATGCTTTCAAAACAAATTTGTTGAATGTTATTGCATGTGATGGTGGATTCTCCTAAATTAATTAATTAGCTTTCTCAAATCAAGTTAATTCTTCAATTATTTGTTAAATTGTCATATTTTTATGTAATTTAAAATAAACTAATGAATATTAAATTCTATGAAAAGCTCTAGCTTAAGAAGGGGAACTCTTAACTTTCTTCTCTTTTTTTTACTACCACATGTGATACTGATTACCTTTCGGTCTCATAGTTTAACATACGGTTTATATTATTATTAGTCTAATTTATGCAATTCTTTCTCAAATTCATATATAAATCACTAAATCAATTGAAAGGTTATCATGTTTCCAATGCATTACGTTCAATAATATAAACTCATCATGCGAATAACTTTAATTAAAAACATAAAAATCACAAAATCTATGTTAAATTGATTAGGTTATGTTGTAGTCCTAGTAGAATAAATTAGTTTATAATAAAAATAATAAAACTTGAAATTATAATTATAAACATTTGAATATCAAACAATAGGTAAAAAGAATTTAAAGAAAAACAAAACCCAATTTGAGAAAATTGAAATCTTTAATCTTTTATTATTGATGCATCCTTTATCTTAATCTCCAAAAGTGCCCAAAAGAGAGCTACTACTAGCTTCCAAAAGCTCTCTCAATTTTGAATTTGAATGGATATTTATAGGAATTTAGAAACCTTAATTGAAATATAAGTAGGACCCACACCCAAAATAATAAATTAGACACAAATTTTCTAAAATTCACATAAGGGGTCAACACCTTCTATTAAGCACAAACTGGTATGTTAGGTTTTTGCCTTTCTAAGCAATTTCTGTTAATAGTAAAATGACAGCTTTGGTCCCTAACTTCTGAACTTTTCACAAGTTAATCCTTAACTTTTTGATCTTTGTAATTTGCTCTTAAGAATTATGATTTCTTTCAATTAAATCATTTTCTACACAAAGAATAAAAAATATGTAAAATCAAGTAAAATCTCATAAAACTCATTTATATACCAATGATATCAAGGCATAAATTCCACATTAATATATATATATATATAAATTCAGCTCATTAATGAAAAAGACTTAAGCTTTGGCCACAAAAACACCACCCTTATTTTTGTTTTAGTATTACAAAAAAATACCAACATTATCTTCCCAATGAAAAAAATCAAAATTATCTATATGTTTTTCTCACTTAGATATACTCTTTTTTAGTGGCTTTATCCAAAGATGGTTTGTTGGGAGAAAAGCAACACTAAATACTAAGGCTACAGTTGGAGATGTTAATCCCTATCCTTTTGTGGATATTCCTTTTTTCTTGAAGTTTATCTAGGTTCTTTTGCATCTTATGCTTTAGCTTTTAGTCCTCTTATATACTGAGAGTGATGACAAAAAATTAAAAATAATGAATGATTAATTGTGTTTTATTTTCTATTGCATGAATCAATGAGCTATTTAGGGTTAAACTAACATAACGGACTTCACTAATTAGCCTTGACAGTGTTTTATGAGTCTGTGGTTGATATACCTTATGCAATGTGAAAATGTGTCTTAGGAAATATTAAAGAAATGGAAGTTTTATGTAAGAGATGTATTATATTGGATACTCAATTGAGCGATTTGATTGTGTGTGATTGAAAGTTCTAGACTTTGACCATGAATATGTGAGGACTTTATTTTAGCTATTATTGTATACTCAGCTAAGCCATTCTTCCTATCTCATTCTTTCATTCTTTCATCTCTTGCTCTCTTTTTTCTTTTTTCTTTTTTCTTTTTTTTTCTTTTTTTTTTTATTTTCTTTTCTTAACAAAATTGGAAAGATAGAAATCCATGTAATCTAAAAGCATTGTATAGAATTCTCTAATTTTTGTGAGAATTTTTATTTTTCGTGAAACCTTGAGAACTACAGCCTGTGTTACATTGTTGAAAACTTTACAAACCCTAATACTTATGTGTTCATTTCAAGTTGGCCCATTGAATGTTGACTCATTCAAAGTTAGACCCGACACCACAACCTACAATGCGGGGTTGTCTAACTGGTTTAGTAACAAATGTAGCAACAACAACAACATACTCCATGTTTAAGTCACTAATCATGTGGGTTGCCATTAAACATCTTCTTGAATCGTGCCACCTTCAATGTAATAACCATAAGGATCCAGTGTTCAACATCATCCACCCATTGAAAATAAGCATATCTCCAGCTTTTTATAAAAATCAAAGGTCCCACGACACCCCAGAATCCAGTTGCAAAGCCTAACATTATGACAATGTAAAACCACATTCTTTTAAGTGCGCCATCATCATTGTCCTTGATGTTGGTGGTTGTTGGAGGCAACGCATCATTTGAGCATTTCTTCAGGGGTGGAGCTCCGCAGAGTTGAGGATTGCCAATGTAAATGGTTGGATCTTCCAGTGTTTGGAGTTGATAGCCTGTTGGAATTGGCCCTGACAAGTTGTTGTAGGATAAGTTAAGGTGGCTTAACTTGGTTAAATTTGACATGCTCTTCGGGATAGTTCCTGAGAGGTCATTTTGGGAGAAATCGAGAGATTCCAAATTCTCCATTTGTCCAATTTTTTCCGGGATCTTTCCTGAGAGATGATTCCAAGACAGATTCAAATTGTGCAAATCTTTAAGGAAAATTAGCTCCTCTGGTATGGATTCTATTAGATTGTTACTCGAAAGATCTATACTACTCTCAAGTCCTAGGGTTTGCCTTGTATACTCAAGGTATCTCCCCTTCACAACCTCCATCAAATCTGCCCAAGACCAATAACCATCATACATGCTGTTGATCAATTGTGTTGCATTCACCATAATTGGAAACTTTCCAAAACAAGGAGGAATCCTTCCTATCATATTGTTATCTGCAAGATCTAGAATCTGCAATTGAGAGAGAGAGCACAGTTCTAAAGGAATATAACCGGAAACCAAATTTTTTCGTAGTCGGAGAACTTTTAAAGGGTGATTGCTAATCTTGCCCCCTACAATGCTTGTTAAATTTCCAGAAAATTTATTTTCACCCAAATCCAAAATCACCAAATAAGTGAAGTTTTTCAAGGCCATATGTATTTCCCCATGGAGACTATTGTTGTTCAAGTGTAGTACAGATAAAGAAGGAAGCTGTCCCATTGTGCTTGGAAATAAACCTGAGAGATTGTTAGAAGATAGATCAATAAAAACAAATGATTGATCATTTCTCCAACAATTAGGAATAATTCCAGAAAACATATTGTTTGACAGATCAAGATATTCCAAAGATTTTGAATTGCATAGCGACTTTGGAATTGAACCATTCATGAGGTTATTTGCAAGATATAATCCTTGCAACATTGGCATCATATGACCAATGTTTTCTGGAAGAGGACCTGACATGCTAACATTAGAGAGATCAATTATACTTATTGTCTTTTGCAATAGAAGCCATTCAGGAAATCTTATTCCAAATTGATTGCTAGCAAGAACTATGGTCTCTAACTTAGAAAGTTGCTGGATGCTATTTGGAATACTTCCACTCAATTGATTGCCAGAAAGATATATGCTCTGTAACTTAGAAAGTTGCCCGATGCTATCTGGAATACTCCCACTCAATTGATTGTCATAAAGATCTATGCTCTCTAACTTAGAAAGTTGCCCAATGCTATTCGGAATACTCCCACTCAATTGATTGCCAGAAAGATCCATGCTCTTTAACTTAGAAAGTTGCCCGATACTATCTGGAATACTCCCACTCAATTGATTGCCATGAAGATATATGCTCTCTAACTTAGAAAGTTGCCCGATGCTATTTGGAATACTCCCACTCAATTGATTGCCATAAAGATCTATGCTCTCTAACTTAGAAAGTTGCCCGATGCTATCTGGAATACTTCCACTCAATTGATTGCAATAAAGATACATGCTCTCTAACTTAAAAAGTTGCATAATGCTATCTGGAATACTCCCACTCAGTTGATTGCCATTAAGATCTATGCTCTCTAACTTAGAAAGTTGCCCGATGCTATCTGGAATACTCCCATTCAATTGATTGCCAGAAAGATCTATGCTCTCTAACTTAGAAAGTTGCCCGATGCTGTCTGGAATACTCCCACTCAATTGATTGCCATAAAGATCTATGTTCTCTAACTTAGAAAGTTGCTCGAGGCTATTTGGAATACTCCCATTCAATTGATTGCCATGAAGATTAAGAAATATCAAGGAAGTCATGTTTTGGAGAAATATAGGCATTGGACCTTGAAAAGAGTTCTCTGAAAGATCAAAGTGTTGAATATTGCCAAGAAATGTAAAATTTAGGGGCTGGCTGCAAGATGGTAGGTGAGAATTTTCAAGACTACAAGTTGATAAACCTAACCATGATAATGAAGGAAGCATGCCAAGTACTTGAAACAAGTTTGATGATGCAAGGCTTAGATTTGCTTCGCTCATATCAAGAAATGTCAATGAAGTCATGTTTTGGATAAAAATGGGCAATGGAACATGAAAAGAGTTCCTTGAAATATCAAAATGCCGAATATTTCCAAGAAGTGTAAAATTAAGGGGATGATTGTGAGGTGGAAGGTGAGAATTTTTTAGATTACAGCCTGACAGACTCAGCCATGATAATGAAGAAAGCATGCCAAGTACCTGGAACAAGTTTGATGAGGCATGCTTTAAATTTACTCCACTCATATCAAGTCGTTGCAAAGAGGAGAGACGAGAAATCCACTGAATGTCACCATCAACCTTTAATCTCCCATAATAATATTGAGAAAGATCAAGAACATGAACTCTTGTAAGATTTCCGAGTTCACCAGGAATTCTTCCGGTGAACTGCACATTAGAGAGATTTAGGTACCTCAACTGCTTCATCAAGCCAAAGGAGAGTGGAATAAGCTTACCATTGAAATTATTTTGGCTCAGGTCCAGGTGTTCCAAGTATCTCAGGTTGAGCAAACTTGAAACAATCTCCTCTACATCATCAATTAAGTACAATTGATGAGGTTGTTGATCATCAGTAGAGTACTGAAGAAGTTGATCAGATATTGATCCCCTGAGTTGAAGAGAGATAACATATCCGCTATTTTTGTCACAGCCTACTCCTCTCCATTCACAACAGTTATTGCCTTTCCAAGAAGACAACATATTCGATGGATCATGGAAACAAAGTTTGAACTTCAAGAGGGCTTCTCTCTCCCTTTCTATACAGCTAAAGCTCGTGTTCCGACCGGAACAGAACTCTGCAACTCCAAAGAACAATACAGCAACTAGAACAAACATAGCACAGAAAGCTTCCCTCATAATCATGGTTTCAATATTGTGCGGAAGATGAGATGTGATTTTAATTATGGTTGTACATTAATATATAGTGCCATGGATAGGCGAAAAAAAGCAGCCTATTTTTGTATTTCGATCATGATCATTCGTGCACATTTGCCAAGACTTGGATGTCTTTTTGGTCCTTGGTGCTTTCAAGTCAATTTAATTAGTGCTTTCATTGTCCTTTTGCACCACCATAGTAATAGTACAGCTTTTACAAGTCTTGTGCTACTGTTGTGCAACGTGAAGGTGGAAAAAGGATGAAAAATGGCTTTGAATTGTCGGAGACATCTATGGTTCGTGAAAATTCCTTCTCTTTTTATCAATCATGGAAATTTTTGGTCATCATCATTATGAAGTCAATATTGTGTGGAAGATTAGATATTTAGAATATTTTAATTTTTTTTTCCTTTGATAACGGATGATTTTATTTTTATTTCTTTTGATGAACCGTGAACGGATAATTTTTAATTTTGATGGCACATTAATATTATAATGGCAAATCTTAAGCTCTTGAACTTACCCTATTCTTCGACACGAGCGCCTAAACTATCTTTTCAGACTTATAAGCCCTTAACTCTTCTATTTATGCGTTTTCGCTAGTTTCCACAAAAAAATCTGATCACAGCCGTCAAAGAAAAAGGCTAAATAGTAGTTTAAGTCCATACACGTTCAAATTTAACAAAAATTAGTTCTTTCATTTTTATCTAAATTTACTAAAAAAAATTAAAACAAGAAATAAGAAGAACAAATAATCCAATGTAAAAAAAAAAAAAAAAAAAAAATCAACATGGCTTCCATGTCACAAGTCTCGATAAATTTGCTCAACATCATATTTCCATTGCATCCCAAAATCAACCAAAAAAAAGGGTTATAGTAAAATAAATTTTTGTTATTTACTTAATTAGTTCTTTCTAAAAAATTTAGAGATCAGAAGATATATAATTAATGGTAGCTCTTGAAATATCATCTATGAGATAATTTTTTTCCAATCAAAATATTAATAAATTGTAAAAATAAATGAGATTTCAGATTTAATTGTTAAATATCTAAAAAATAATAATTGAGAGTTATATAATTGAGTTTCATTTGCATATTATTTGTAAATATAAGGAAGAAGCTAAGCTCAACTAACTTTTTTTTTTTTGCCCCCTAATTATGAAATCTTTAAGAACTTAAATTATTTAAAGAATATCTAAAAATTTGTCCTTACCTAATTCATGAATAGATTTTATTTCAACTTTGCATGGTGTTCCTCTCACAATCAAATCAATACAAAATCTTACTTCCTCGTATTACAGAAAAAAAATATTAAAATATATATCATGACATTTTTGCCTTTCTAATTTTTCATTTTGATTTTGAGATGAGTTGGGGAGAAATTTGGAAAATTA